AACCCCCACAGCTCAGTGTGAACACAATCCTCACTTTTAAACCCCCTGGCAAAGCTTAGCAAGGAGATTCTCCTCTCCATGACTGGTACCCTGACTGCCTGTGCTGCTCTCACTTTTAGGCTGGATCACAGTAACTTTTGGATTTTGGAAGGTTTAGTTAGTACAGAATGTGATTGCTGGCTCACTCAGTATCATGTAAYGTGGAGATTACAGGCTGGAGAACCCCATGGCTTTCCTTATTTAAAGAAATTAACATTATAAAATGTGCAGTCGTTAACTTTGTAACAGACACAGGACAGAACTGTACAAGAGAGAATTAAATATGGTAATGCTTAAGCACCCAGAAACAATGGGATAGCTTATTAAAGGAAAGGGAGTGAAAAATCCCGAAACTTTAAATTCTTGGCAGAAATCTTATAGACAAGCAACTTGTTTTGTGTTATGATTCCTTGGAAAGACAGTACTCTGCACAGCTGTTAGCCACGTAAGAAAGAAATACATATGTGCATATCCAAGTGTGAATATTCACTTACTAATCCAGTTTCCCCMAGTACTTGGAATGAACCTTTCAGCAGTGCTTGTTAGATTAAAAAAAAAAAATCCCCTTGAGAAACTATGTTCCAAAACCTCAGTTCTTATTAGGAAATGAAGCAACTTTTTGGTGACATAAAAATAATCATGCTTTGGGTAAAAGCTTTCAAACATATGGCCCACAGAAATAGCAGGCTTCAGAAAGATTTCTCTTAAACAGTATATAAACRATTTATCTTTGCATGTGGAAGCTGCACATCAGATAAAAAGTGTTCTTGCAAAGTGCTGTTCCTTACAAAAAAGTCTTCAGTCTCYATGTTTAGGTAAGACCTTGAGAAACTACATTAGAAATTATATCAAATGGTACAAACATGTAGGAAAGAAGACRATGCCCCSCACGAACACACTTCTGCCAGTGGCAGACTGCTTCATYGCAGGTTTTATGGGGTCTTTTTAGTTGCTAGGCTGAATTATGGAGGTTAAAGTGTAGTTTATGCATTTTGTCAACCACATAAGCATGCTTTAAAGTCACCAGTTTGAATTTATTTAGTGTCTTTTTCATTCTATATTGGATAACAATTGACATCTATCGCAYGGGCATGCATGATCTTGTTTTTTCTTCCTCTGAAATGCCTAAAAAAAAGGAAGAGACATTATCTGTTTTGTCTGTGAATAAATGAGCAAAATATAAGGAGGSCAATGGTATATTTTCATAAAGACTTTAAGTAGCCAGCCTTTGTGTCACTGCACAGTCTTTATGGTTGCAGGAGCTTAGCAGGAAGCTTAGAGAGCTTTGCCTGTGTTTTGCTGCTTTTCTCATCAGTGCCTTAATGCCTGCTGATTAAGGGCTCATAAATCTTTGCAATATTAGCAGAGGAGTCCATTTTCATAGCAAATGACAACATTTCCCTGCCTCCTTCTAGCTGTTATCACACACGTGTGGCATATACTTGTAGGTATCATTGTCACACTTGTGCCATATATTTTGTACAATGAATGCTCTCTTCCTGGAAACCTGAACCTCTTAACCACTGCTAGAGAGTAGCCTTTACTCTTGAGGTCACCTAACTTGGCAAGTCAGTGAGTTAATGGGTCTGAAAAGATTATCCTAGACCMAAATTGATGTAAACATTCTCCTTGCAATGTAGAACGTATGGGCTTGCATGCCTTTCATCTTTGCTGCACATTCCAGATGTTTGCTTCTTTCCTCTCATCGTATATACATGATAGATAATGTACTGAGTTCAGATTTATGTCTAAGGCATGATGTGTTTGTACTCTGYTTGATTACATCTTCTTTCTCCCTTTTATTTGGAAAAGGAGAAGTACCTTAAAAGCCTTTTTTCAATTCAGGTTTGATTTGTTTATTCAAAGCTATCCAAAAGCAGTCTGATTGGAGTTCCTCATCCTCTCTATTTCCTCTGCTGTTCCCCTGCAATATATCTTCTTTCAGTCAAGGGTGACTCTATGACTTGGTTGCTTTGAGAAAGTTCTAGAAGACAGATCTCAAAATTTCCTTTGGAAAGGTCCTTGTTAAAAAAATAACTAATAACTAAATATACAAATAAATAATTATCATCAACATAAACCCAGATTWTTAGCTTTATTTATTTTGACAATTAAATGCTAATTTCTAATTTTTTCACAGGTGGTACACTAATATGTATTCACTATTTAGAATTTTGGGGAACATCCTGAAGTTATAATGGGTGTTTCAGTTTGGTATCTTTCACTGAATGTCAGCAGCCCTRAATGGCTAAATGCTATAAAAATTTTTATTYTGTTYTTTGGGTTCAACCTGAAGGACTCTGAAACCAAACTACTGTTAACTTCTCTGCTTGGAGATGGATGATTTTTTTTTTTTTTTTAATAATCTGAGTGTCATTTATTTTTCCCTAACAGACATGGTAGGTCTATTAAGAAATAGCAGAATCCCCAGACCACAGTTATTCCTACCTTTTCCTATTTTTCTAGTGTTCTTTATTTCAGTGTGTGTCAATCCAGAATAGATTCCTTTTTTTTTTGTCTGTTTAAAGAGGATGCAAACATACCTGATGCAAAATCTAAATGTATACTGAGGTATCAAGAGAAGGTACTTATTAAAAAAGGAAATGTTTTTGAACTACAATAAAATTACCATCTTAAAAAAGTTGTGGTTATTTCACTCAATAATTAGATTTGTTATGTATATTGTTTCTCTTAAGTTAGACTTCTGTGTTGTCTCACTATGCATCTATTTCTCAACTGATTTTTAGAAAAACTATTTTGGAGGATGATTTCCCCACAGCTTTCTTGATTCTGCCCAATTCCAGCAGTCTCTGTTAGTTTCTTAAATTCTGTGTACGCYTGTCTTTACTGTCCTTTGGCTTTACTTTACTGGTGCCTACTCTRGGTAGGACAGATTTGGCACTTTATCTCTTTAGCAGCAGGAAATTTTTAATCACTGATCTTGGCGCACAGAGTAACTTTCTAGGTATGCAAAGTCCTTGTGAACGTCCTTGTTACCGTGACACATAGCCTCAGTTTACCGAACTCTTAATATACTTTACATCAAGCTTAGCTGAGAGATTCCACGGATATGTTTCCTCTTCCAAGTTTWAGGAGACACAAAATTCAAAATTCTTGAAGAACAACAAATTATTCAGGTATCTCTTGAGTTAAAAACACCGTAAAACAAAGGGGTATTTGGGAGGGAGCACTCCCCTGGTGGTGAAAATGAACAGAGGAAATTCATTGTCRTCATAAAATTGTGTGCTTGCAAATGTAGTGCCTTCGACTGACGTGTGACTTTGTAAACTTCTTAGCTTTTCACAAAACACTATTAAGGCTTTTATCTAGCTACTGAAAAAAATACCACTCTTAAAAGATAAAACATTGAGACTTAAGAAATACAAATAATTTTTAGCTCAAGGGTGCATAAGCAGAGGTGAATTTTATCTTATGCATTTTGGGGTTTACAATATACTTTCACCAAGAATTGGGGCATAATTATATGCTTCCTCTTTATATATTTATATATTTATATATTTATATATTTATAGAAAGGCTTAATCACCTTTATCATGTGATAAATTTGTGTATTTATACACGACTGTGTAATATTTTTCAAATTGGTTTAGCAAATTTGACCTGCTAAAACATGGAATGGATTTGTTCTCTTCATAATTTCTAAATTTCTCACAAACTGCTAGATCACCTTCCAATTCTTAATATCCTGTTTGGTCAGACTGTAGGAATTATGTAAATCATCTCTGGTGAAAGAAGGAAATTCATAATAAATAAACTATCAGGCTGAAAGAAACTCACAGTTAAGTGAATTGACACACTAAAAGGGATTTGATTGCTTTACTTCTCTTGTCAGTTTTCTAAGTGTTTGCCATGAATACAAAAATCACTCTCAGCAAATTTGCTATAGGGATCCTGGCTTCTTGGGGCTGCGTTATTGGAAAGCTGTAATTTAAGTCTGTTACACTGCTGTATATGAAAGCATAAATTAAGATCGTTTAAAAGAAGGGACTCAGGAATTGTGATGGTCTGCAGAGTAACGCTCTCCCATTAATATCTTAAATTGGTCTTGTGGCTAATTTGCATGGCTAATTCATTAAGTGCTGTTTAATCCAGTTKTTCGTAGCTTCTTGTTTGTCTGCATGAGCCTTCTGTAAGAGCCGTAGCCAAGTTTTGGATGGGATGCTCCATAGTCCCTTAGCACAGCAGTTATGTCTGTAAGACCCAGGAAACCCCTCCTGGGGGTGTCACACCCACCTGGGATATGGGATCATTCTKCTGCCCGAGGAAAGGACCGATGGTGAAAAAAATAGTCACTTTATCAAGTATAAAAATATAAAATATATTTTTTTGKTTTTTTGCTGTGTTTTCTTTCCATCACAATGTGGGCATWTTATCAACTAGTGCTCTTATCTTTAACACTTTATTTTCCTATTCTTATCTTTAACACTTTATTTTCCCATTCTGAATATAATGAATTAATGTTATGCTATGATAATAAATACAATATTATATTGCAATAAAACCAGTTTTAAAGTTTTGCTGTACACACTTAAAATACTGAAACTGCAATTATGGTAAGGAATAGAGGTGGTGCTCTCTTGTTGATTCTGAAAAATTAGGACTTTAAGTTTGTTTGTTTATATGATATAATGAGATTATATTATTGTGGTAAATGTCTGCAAGYCTTCAATGAAAAATCAAATTTYGTATTTTGCACATTTTAATTTTCTGTAGTTGACTGAAAGGTTAAAGCTATTTTTTTTTCTTTGCACTGATGTATTTCATTCTGGTTTTAAAGCTCAGAATTCTGCTTTTGATCCTCTGTATAACAACTTTCATATTAACCTGCTTATATCATGTGAAACATAAAATGCAGGGGTGCATTGGTTTTTACATTATGATATAATCTGTTTCTTGGTCTTTCAAAATTCTAATTCATCTTTTCCTTTCTCTTGTGACAGGATGACAAGGACTTGGTTCATGAATTTGTTGTTGCTGAAGGTCTGACTTGCTTAATCAAAGTGGGAGCAGAAGCTGACCAGAATTATCAGAACTACATCCTGAGAGGTAAAGGAAATGCATCCAAAAGTTAGTTTTATTGCTTAGAAGCTCTCCCAGGTCTGCGACAACTTGCTGTGTAAAGTGCCTTTGAACTTGCTTCTCAGTTYGGTCCTGATTTTTTCATGTTATGCAAAAAAATTAAGGGAAGATTAACACTCATCACTGAGCAAAATGAATTGAARTATTTGGAGTCTCGATAGCCTCCTCATTGTCTACCTTTTCTTGTAGTCTATACTGCAAATCTCTAGTTCTAAGACAGAAAAGGCATTCTAAAGCCTTTACTGGATAACTGTGTCAGAAGGCACAGAACGAAACTTATTGGAAGTGTGATCATCTTTTACAAAGAGGCTGCTGCGAGCAGGTTGGATGCAGCAGGAATTTTGTGACCTGTATTTCTCTTCTTTCTTGTACTGATGGGTGGCTGTTGACCTCCCAGGTATGAGGGTTTTCTCCACGCTGCTTGGACAGTTCAGAAGTACCAGGGAAACTGAGAGAGGCAGCACCAGCCTGCTCCATCATCCTCTGGGGAGATGTATTTTCGTATCATYTCATTCCATTGTGGTGCAGCAGAATGCAGCATCATCAGTATCTATGGATACCATACAGTGTCTATGGAATAGGAAGGAGGAAGTCATGCCTGAAGGGGTCARTTGGCTGGAAACAATTGTTAGCTATCTGATATTTTGGAGTTAAACAGGAAATGAGAGGGTAATATTCTGTTCTTTGCACTCAGAAGAAAACTGGCAAAGATAGGGTTTGGAGAGTGATTTGGAAAAGGTGTGCTACGTGATTAGAAAGCAGATTTCCTCTGTTGTGGCCCAAATGGATGTGTGTGTTTTTCATCTAGTCAGGAAACTAAGGTTGTAAATTAGKAGAGTTTCTTTAGTATTTTGAGTCACTCCAAAGGATCTTTGCTGCTGGATGATCTCATAGTAAATAGAGACTGCTTATGAATGCATACTTGTGGTAGATGGCTCATTTGAGTTTTCTTAGRCTGACGTATATAGCTCTATTTAAAAATGTCACTTTGATGTATTTAACTGCTAGCACTCAAACTACACATGAAGAGTGAAAAAAAAAACCCACAAAAATAAGTAGAATGATCTTGTAGGAACCAGAAATACTGAATTATAGAAAGCAACGATTCAAATAGTAAATGTGGCTTCATGCAAAGATATTGAAGATAAGACCAGCTTTTGCAGGTGTAAAAGAAACAAACCAGTACTACAGAGAATGGGTTCYATGTCAGTAGCTGTACAGTCACATGGAAATGCTCGAATATTACACAAGGACACAGAAACACATTCAAGAAAAAGTTTCTAAGAAAAAACTGGCTGTAGATGCTCTCAGAAAATTCAGACTGGAAGCAAAATAAAAGTGTTGTATGGGACAATCTGGTCTTAAGTCTAGGAGTCTTCCCTTCTCCTTACCTTTCCATATCCTAATGCATCCAACATTCAAAGACTTACAATGGTCTCTCTTTCTTGTTATGGCTCTCAAGAGCTTGGTTTCCATGATCTAAAGTTAGAAATTTTAGAGTGAATTCAGTGAATGCTAAAGCAGAACCTTGGTGCCAAAGTCCACAACATCATACAAATGAAACTGTAAACTCATCTTGTTGCATCATTATTGACAAGTGATTACAGGTTGTTCAAAATGAATATAACAAACAATAACAAAAACTGTATGTAAGTATGCCATAAAGCTAAAAACAGTATGTTAGGAAGATGCTTTTGGAGATTGGTACCTWCTGAAATCAGGTCTTTTTTTTCCCTATATTGCTGCTTTGTGAAGTTAAAGTTTCTCTCTGGGTAGTGTATCCTTGCATGTTTTACAATAAGAATTTTTGTGTGTGATGTGGGCTTCATTTCAGAACTTAAATTGGTCTTGATTGTCTTTCAGAAAGTTCAAAGCTTGTTACAACTCCAAAATTATGTCAGCTGGTTTGCAGTTCCAGGAGCCAGCATGTCCTTTCTGAATAGGTCTGCGTGTGCAATGAGATAAAGATAGGTTTGGAAGTACGATAGCCAAACAATCTTATCCAAATACATTGAGGAGGGTGCTGAAAGGAAGCATTAAATACGTCATGTAAGAGTGTTTCTGGTATATTATTTTTGGAAGATCATTGTGATTGGTTAGGGATTTCGGGTTTTTTTGGTTTTTTTTGTGGCAGTTGTGTGTACTTACTGCAGTGCTGCATTTTATGAAACCCGGAGTATTGGTAAATAGGTGAATAAATTTTACTGAAGATACATCACAGTTAGCACGGAGGTGATCCCATAAGTTCCAAGCTTAGTGTTAAGAAGTGGAGATTTGAGAAGTACAAAGTAGTCTTTTTTAAGAGATTTTGTGCCTTCCTGCTGTGGTGTACTTGTTCTGCAGATCCTTTTGGAGTGGAATATATTCTCCTTATTTTCACTGCATTTAACCTAAATCAAAAATGGATGGGATTTCTCCTAAGTTCCATATTTTAGCTGAAGCACCTTTGGTGTCATTCACTCATTTTCTCTGGCAATTCTAACTCAGCTTGCAGGGCCCGTGACAGTAAGTGGCAGCTTTAGGCATGGCATTGCCTTCTTTGCATTGAGGATTCACCCACACGGGACTGTCCATCATCCTGACTGAGCAAWTTCCCAGTGTTTCACATAAACTTGTTTACCTGCACTCGTCAAGTAATAACTTTGTACCTTGGAGGGAAAATAGGCTGGAAATGTATGTGTACTTTAGGGCTGTTGGTGCTTCAGTGAGTTCCAGGTACAAGTTCTTTCTTGAGGACATTACTTTACTTTTTCCAGAAGCCTGCATTGTTTCACTCTAATGTTTCCTGGTTGTGAATTTCTGCTGAGGGGCTTTGATTTGGTTCAAGCCATACCAAGCTGCCAAAAAATGATGAAATATGAGTCACGAAAATTTTAGATACTTTACTGGGTGAGTGAAGAGGAGGTAAGGGTGGATTTCACATACAACGCTGAGAAATCCAGATCGTTTATTGTTGAGGAATGACTGTTTATTTCTGCTCAGGTGTCTTTCTCAAAGTGTTCCCTTTTGTCAGTCTATAAACTGGAAACCAACAGTAGCTAGGATTTCTCTGGAGAATTACTCTTTTAAAAGACTGTCTTAGAAAACAGCTTTTAATCCTCCCTGTTTAACAGTTCTTAAAACTAAATTTATTCTCCAATGTTCCTTTTAATTATTATGGACATCTAAAGAAACCATGTTCTGAGARACTTCTTACCCCCATGGGAACAGGCTTGTTTTCCTTTTGATATTACCTCCCTCTTATTATTTTTTTTTTTCCACAAGAATCCATAAGGATGAAGAACTTCACTGACAGCATTGAAGTAAAAATTTCCTATCCCAGTTACAAGCTTGCAGTCTGGTAGATGTTACCTAAATATTCAAAAATAGATAGRAGTGGGTTAAAGTTAATGGAAATATCCATAACTGATGCGGATTAATATAATTTTTATATTTTTTTTTATTTTGAAGATTTTTTTGTACATAATTTTGATGTCATCTTTTCTTTGCACAGAATGAGAAAGCAACTCATGAAATGCCATGTTAGCCTTCATGTTTTCTGATAATTTAACCAGTGCTGTTGGTAAGGGGAGAGAAAAAAAAAAAAGCAGCTTGCGTAGACCAAGGCTTAATTATTTTTAAAATAGACTGAATAAGTAAGCTATGAGGTTTCAGGGATGATTTTGCTGCCACTGTGATGTGAGGAGTTCTGCCTGGTGGGATCTCGTGCTGTCTGTCCCTCAGATCAAACGAGAAGGGTGTCAAAAGGTCATCCAGCCTTATTTGTAGGGTGTAATTGTATGCTTGGATCCGTATTTGCCTGCTTATGGATTCAGATCAGTATTTAGAGGTGCCCATAATTAGCTGAAAGCTAGGTAATGTTTTTTTTGGTCTGAAAGCACCAGCCATGTGTCCACTCCAAACAGGCAAAGACCTTGACCTTGCTACAAGGTCTAAGGAACTAAGGCTGAGGAAAAAGTAGGACAGCTGCCAGTGCTCATGCTAAACTATGTTTGAATMAAATTCAGCTTTTGGATGCAGCTCTCTGAGTGAGAGCTGTGTGCTTATATGCAGAATAAGAATTTGAGTTTCAAGTCTGGGTAAGAGATGGTTTCAATTTTGTTTGGTACTTTTGAATTTCTAGTGTTGGATTTTTTAAAAGAAGAAATAAAAAAACCCAGGTGCTTGGAGGAGCCTAGGAGTTATGTTTCGAGGTAATATTTGTGCTTTAAATTAACCCCTCTCMCATAAAACCCCAAAACATTACTGTAATCTAAATTTAAAGATAAGTAGAATCATAGGAACATTTAGGTTGGAAAAAGCCTTTAATATGAYGGAGTTCAACCATTAACCTTACACTGCCAAATCCACCATGAAACCATGACCCTGAGCACCATGTCTACACATCCTTGAAGTATCTCCAAGGACAGTATAGTTAAAACTTCAATAATTTATACATAATTCAATAATCTGGGCTGAACACTAGGTTGCAGTAGAACAGTAGATCATTTTCCTGTTACAGACCCACTGCATTTCTGGTAAAATGTTAAAGTTCTGTGTGTTTCTACAGATATTGGTGCGAGCACRGAAGATGGAGGTAATGGATCCCTGGATGAGGGATCTGACATGCTCTGAGGGACAATGACATACCATTTAAGAGAATTTAAGGTTGATAAGTTCCTACACAAAGTCAATAGCATCTTCCGCCTGATAGAACAGCATCTTTATTATTATGCCCCACATTTTTTTCCTTATATTTAGTAAATGTAGTTGTTTTGGAATTACGTTTGTACAAGCATGCKTTTATCTTCATGCAGATAGAATGAGTATATAATAATGCTCTTAGTTTATTTCTTTTCCTGGTTTTGCAAGACCTATCAGGACTTTTAAGTAGTTTTATGAAGGACTTTTACCAGAAAATTCCTATATGAGTCCTAAAATGTAAATAAGAAAGAACTGAGTGTCTTTAAACACTAAAATCACATGTG